CAAGCATATAATAAAATAATTAATATATATAATTAAACATCATTGAAACATTCTTAAGATAACACACTATTCATGATGTATTATTTCGTTAGGACAAGAACACAATAATTTACCATTCAAAAAAAAAAAAAAAAAAAAAAAAAAACACAATAATATCTGTAGTAGTTATACAGTACAATTTCATTGTCAATTTGTCAACAGCATGATGTATGACGTTAGCATGAATAAACATGCATGCCCATCATCAACACAATTAAAATTCCACCATTGTTTTCAGCATCTTCATCCCTTTCTTGTAGTTTATTTAGTCGGCCACACCCGACAATTTCGCCCATAATGTCACACCTTACTTGCTCCTATTCCATATATTTTTTATTTTTTTGGTAATTTAACTTTTTTTTATTATTACTACCTTTTTTTATTTTTAATTTTTATTTTATTTTATTTTTTTTATGGGAAAAACGAATAAATAAAATAAAAATTTTCACTCCTAGCTATTTACTATTTAGGCCATGAGAAAGAGGAATGGGGAATTGTAGTGCACTAGTCAAAGAATTCTGTGTTCAAGTAAATCTACAAACTAATCTTGAAGTTAGGCATTGTTTTTTAGTAGCTTTAACGGGAAAGTGGGAATGAAATAAGGAGACTGTGTGTCTAAAGTAAAGAAAAAGAATTAAAAATGATATATGGTCTTTATAATATTGTGACCACTGAACATCTAAAACTTACCTAAAATGTATATGATATAGTTATATATAATTAAGTAATGACTAATCACAAGTCTCTTGGCTCAATTGTAATTTTACCCTTCATGAAAGGAGCATTCTGGAAAAGACAATTGATCTAGGATCCCTTTGTTTGGATCTAAAATGTTCATGTAAAATGTATTTTTTTACTAGGATCCCTTTGTTTGGATCTAAAATGTTCATGTAAAATGTATTTTTTTACTTTTATTTTCTGTGTTTGGTAATGATTCGTAAAATAATTTTTAGATTAGTTTTTGTGCACAATTAACTTTCTTTTTCTTTAATGTTCCTCATCTATAGGAAATAATACCCACAATTAACTCTCTCTCTCTCCCTCTCTCTCTCTCTGGAGTGTTCTTCACCAACATAGGGGATAGTACCTCTAAACCAACCCCCAATCCATCCACTACTTTCTTTCTTTCTTTCTACGCTACACCATTCCTCCCTCTCCTTCTCGTTACTTTCTCTATACTAGAACATACTCTCGACTCAAATCTGTTTCTTGACCAATCCAAATTTGTATCACTCTTTCTCTCTCCTTTCACTTCATGTATACATATAGAGAGAAAAGACTGAAGATTAGATTTTTAGATTGGGAAAATTAAAAAATATTAGTTATTAGAGAGACATAGGAGTTTAATAAGAATACGAATAGTTATATAATCCATGGGAGATTGTGGAGAATGACTTACGAAATCTTTTTTGGTAAATTATTTTCAATCATTTAAGGATAAAGTGATTTGTTTGGAAAATAATTATCTAAGAGTCTCCGAAACTCTGAAAATAATTTTTTTAAAAAATATATTTTACGATAAAATAGACGGAGTCTTAACTTTCATTACCACACTGTTGTATTGAACCTATAATAAAGTTGAAATTCATTAATACATTAGGCTGGTTTTAAAAAATGAACACTCTAGTCTCTTTTTAGCCACTCTTAATTGGTGATGTCAAAACCTAGACTGTATAGCACATTAGGCATTTTCTTTCATAGATGGAGTACCATGGTCCACATATAAGTGCTTAAAACTAGGCGTTGAAATTTCTAGGGTCACATGCATGACCATAATTTAAGACATTTCTTAAAGTACACTGCGATGATATCGATAGTATTGTTACAGGGGTGGTATTTTAATTTTATATATATATAAATATGTAAAATCCTAGTAATGTAGCCCCCAAAGGGTCAATAAAGTAAGAGAGTTATGGTCTATATTTGAACCACAATCATTAGCAGAAAAAAGACTTAGTTATTTTCATTCTTTGAAGTCCTCTGTATTACACTAAGTTTGGAATAAACTATTCATAGTTTGAAATAATTTGGGTCAGCTTGAATTTAAAAGATCGATTAATGATGAAGTTCATCGCTACTTCTCTAAACAAGTATTTGACGCGCAAAAGAACTTTAATTTATATCATGAAATGAACAAGCACCTAACCTTTTAATTAAAGGGTGGATGCACATGATAATTATACTTTTATATATACAACTGAAAATGAATGAGTTTGTACGAGGAATTGACTTGTATAATTTCGTTTAACAAAAGATTAAACTGCTGGATTTCCAATTAATTTGTAACCCTACCATCATTAAACAAATAAAATAGTTTCGTTGTTATTTTATTTTATTGTGTGTAGTTTTATTTACTATCTTTTTTTTGATAACTCCGATTATCCGAATTTTTGCCCAACTAATTTTTGAAGATGTCTCTCCATCCCGAACCGAGTCTCAAGTTATCGTAAGTTCTTAATGGAAATCAAATCCTAAACCTTAGTGCTAATAAGCACCTAAGCTCAGATAATTTTACCTCTAAACTAATCCCTTGAAATTTTTATTTACTACCTTTGTGTGGGCTTTTGTTAATTAAATATTTAGGACGTAGTTATTTCACATGCGTGATGAGAGACCTTCATCATCCTCTTTGTGATCAGGAAAACGTATGTGACTGTGATTGTATTTTGATTGCTACAAATCAATCTCTCTCTATACATTATATATATATATATATATATAATGTATAGACTACTAAAATTTAAGTCCCATCACAACTAAACACGTATGGTCACGTATTTCACATTGGACCACTTACTTTATTTGACCTTGAAATGGGTTATTGTTTCGTATAGCGAAAGTCAACACCAACTATCAAAGGAGATGTCAGAGAATGGAGAAACCACATTTTTTAAACAATCAACCCTTTAAATTAATAAAGTTATAAAAAAAAATTAAAAAAATAAAACTAGTTGCGACTTCTGATGACAAAACCATATGGGTTTACTCTCATTCCTCGTGATTATTATTATATTCCGGAGACCATTTGGTAGGTTGTTGTAGGGCCCTTCTTCCCTACATTATTTCTTTTATTTTCTCAAATAAGGTAGAATTCATTTTAACCAAAAAAGAAAAAAAAAAAGAAAAAAAAAAGAGAAACAGCTTTATTATGATCATTTCAGTTCACAACTAGTCACAATTGTACGTTCTCTTACAATTATAACTAAAAAAATTTCTAAAAGAAATACGAAATTTTACTTCTGACGATGACATGTTATTAAATGATGGTCCTGTTACAATTATAACGTCATTGTATCTAAAATTTTTGATTTTTGATTTCTTATGGTCCACACTAGTACTAGCAGTCCTCTTTCAACTATAAAAACATAACCATATATCTAAAATTTTGGTTTTAAATCTCTTATGATCCACATGCACTAGCTAATAACACAATGACGAAAATGTAGGCACAAAGAACTCCAATGGCCACAATTAGTCCTATATGAATACAAAAAAAATAATTTGGGGTGGTCGGCATGATTGACTTATAATGCACATATAAGTATTTTTTTGAATTTGGCTACAATATGCAGAAAAAGTAGAGCCAAATGTGTCACTGTGGATGTATTGTTGAATTGTCGGCATGAAAGGGTGTGAGAGAGAGAAGAGTAGGTAGGTGGATGGGTATACATATGGCCCATGAATTGTTCACCATGTCAACAGTTCAGGTGTCTGCTTAGCGACATAATCAAACCCATTGTCACTGCGGAAAGTGTGGTCCTTGTTATCTGATAAATGTTTCAACATGCAGCAAAAGATGACCAAGACATAGATATCAACATATATTGTGGGTTGAAAATAGTACATTTTTGTGATATAGTTGAATTTATGTCGATCCAATTCATATAGAATAAAGAAAATAATGATAATAACGTATGTAAAAATGAGAAAGCTAGGAGCACTTTATTGAAGCATCGGAGTACCATTGGGTGATATAAAAATCATGAAAGAACCTTTAGATTTTGAAGAAATTGTTGATATAGTGCATGTAAATTAATTCATTGCAGGCACACACATACATGAGATGTAAATTTCAGGAGGATTTGGATTGAGTTCCACCTAGTTGGGCTGAAATGAAAACTTTAGACTGTATAAGACTCGGCCTATCAAACTTTTCAATAAGTATGGATCTAAATGGCTCGGCAAAGACACATATGGGCTGGACCTAACACAATATCAAAGTTCAGGCCTATCACTCTAGGCCCAATTTATCCTGGGTCCGGGTAAGGGTGAGAATGGGCTTCTCATTCTTTCAATTTTATATGAGGACATGAAATTGAAATTGATGAAGTTGACTCTCGATTTGATCCAAAGCCCATTTCATTGTATTTGTCTAATAATCTAAAGTACAACTTATTTCTTTCAAGATCCAAAGATGGAATTGAGTACTTGACATCTATTTAATTATTAAATAAAATTTCAAAACCAAGCTTAACAAAGTGGAGTTTAAATTAGACTATTTAGTAAATTTTCATGTCTCTTCTTTAAAAAAAAAAGAAAAAAGAACGCACACACTCAAAATACTTGAACAAGATACAAGTAGTCTCCAATTCACTTTTAAACATGATACATATGTATTTTATCTGCTGTAGAGCATTGGTTCAATTCACTTATATCTATTTTAACATATTTATTCTATATTTTAACATATTTTCAACACACGCAAAAAAAAAAGAAAAAAAAAAAGGGGGGGGGGGGTGGGGGGGTGTATTAAAGCATGAAATAATTATGTAAAAGTATAGAATACATGTGTTGAAATGTAGTAGAATAAAAAAGTAGATAGAGTCGGAGAGGGCCTAAGCCCAACCCATGTTACCCAAGGCCCATCCGCAGTGGCCATTCTGGCGCGCAAACGACCGATAAGTCTTCTGGAACTCCAATGTGTTCATCACAGAACCACACGATGGCCCAAAAGATCTATGCTTGTGTAGTTGTGTGGTATATATTTACTCCCCAGTTCAAACATGCATATATGATATTAGATTGACATAATAGTGTAGAAAATGGAGTGTTGTTGTTATATTTCACCCAAGTCATCAGCGTCTTCATCCTCCATCACTCTCCTCTCTCAGGTATTAATTTCACTATTCACACTCAACAATCCCATTCTTCTTTCATTCTCTGCTCAATTTCAGTTCTCTCAAGCATGTTTTTGTGTATATATATATACACACACACACACACACACACATACAGCATATGCATATGCCTACATAACCAGTTGGGTAGTTAGTTATTTTGATTGTTTGTTTGTACTTGGGACGTTACGCGCTCTGCTGCAAATAGAATGGTTTGTGTTTTGTCTCGAAATCGATGATATTCATTGTTTCCTATGTTGTCGGCTCATTAATTTCTGTTAATTTATGTGTAATTAAGCATTACAGGCACATGTATCTCCATATAATTCCCGATTTTTTGACATTTTGATGATTATTACAATTTCAATTTTGTTGTTTGGTTATGAGCTAAAGGAGGGTAGGAATTTTGGATTTTTTCTTATTTCCAGCTGTTGTCATTTGACAAACAAAGATCATTAAAGGGATTTTTTTTTTGAAAAAATTTAAAAATCAAATTCAACAGAAAACTCAATATAGCTTTACCACTAGTGTTTTGGTTTGCTACTTGAATGCTATTTCAGAGGATTTGGTGATTCATGAATCATTTATTTATTTATTTTGTGTGTAAGAATTCAATTCCTGTGTTTTCAATGAAACTTCTGAATTACTTCTAATAGCTTTAAATTGGGAATGTATTTTTCCCCATTCCCACTGCCCTTCTGGCTTGCACTTTTTTCGTCTATGCTTGGGAAATTTCCACCTGAAAATGCAAAAAAAAATTTCCTCCATGCCAAATCAATTGTGAACTTTTTATTTCTTATTATTATTATTTTTTTTTTTTAGTAAAAAAAATTCTCAATTTATTTTCTAATTGAATCCTGAATTCGAGTCACTGAATTAATGAAAACCAAAATTTTTGGACATTCAGGAGTCTTTATCAAAGTGACAAACCAAATGAATCCATAATCTTTGTTGAAGTCACTTTTGAATGAAATCAGCAGCCAAGTTTATTTAGTTTCTACCACGATTTTACTGAACTAATCTTTTTGTTATATGATAGTTGGATTATTCTTCGGTTTGACGCAATTTCCAATTTTATAGTTTTTTTTTAATCTCTTGTAATCTACTTGACTGATATTCAGGGTATTTCAACATCTGCTGGTAGAAGATTTTCAAAGAGAGCTTTACGTACCGGGGTGCTGTCTTCTCCACTTTCGAAACCATTTCTTCAACTTAATAACAGATTTCAGCCCTTTGTTTACCAACAAAACTCATCCTATCTCCCTTTGAGAACACATAAGAGGGGCATTTTTGCCGAAGCTGGAAAGCAAGGTTGGGACTTCGGCAGATTCATACAGACATTGTATTTTTTTAATGGGCCTCCATCTCCAGCCAAGGTTGTTCTTGGTTTCTCTTCCAATTTTGGTTATGTCTACTCTGAACCTTCCTAACGCTTCATCTGACAATTTTTTTGTATTTTTGAAGTTTTTTGAATTTCTGATTGAGAAACTGTCCGGTCCATCACCTAGTGAACCAGTAAAGGCAATGGACACTTCTGGGATTATCCTAGTGGCTGGAGCCACTGGTGGTGTTGGAAGAAGAGTAGTGGACATCTTACGCAGAAAAGGATTGCCAGTTCGAGTATTGGTATTTTGCTTAGATTTTCTTCTCTCTCTCTCTCTCTCTCTCTCTCTCTCTCTCTCGTGTTTTTAAAATTTGAATCCCTGTTGTCTTTATGAGCTGGGAGGTGGAGATATGCTGTTAACACTATTACGAAAACATAAATTCTTATTATAAATTCAATGAGTTTTGTGCTTTATTTGAAGTCTCTCATATTCCTTTTCATAAATTATGTTGTTCTCATACCAAGCTTCTCTCAGGTCAGAAATGAAGAGAAGGCAAGAAGAATGCTAGGTCCAGACGTCGATTTGGTGAGTTAGCAATCTGTACTAACTGAGGTTATTATTGACCACAATTGTGCCTTTCCCTTGAATGTTGATTAAGTTTCGTTGGCCCACATTGTTCATAGAAATTTGAAATTTAGAAATCTAACTTTTGACCTATCATTTAAGGACAATCAGACTATAATCAGGCACAACCATACTAATTCTGTGAATATGTGATCTTGACGTATGTAACGAAATCATTCATTCATTTCTTTCATCAGTCCTTACATAATTTTATTGATCCTCTGGGATGGTGGGGTTCCCATCTCTATTGGCTGACACAGGGATGCCTTCAATTGAGGTAGGATACTTTACTTCTCCAATCAGGTCTGGTCCTAACTCCTAAGGGAATTTCTTATCTGATCTGTTCGTCCCAATGATGAAGTGCACTCTAAACTTGTTTTTGTGAAATTGTGCTAAATTTAATTTAGTAAACATTTTCCTGAACATTTGGGAAACATTTTGTTTTTGATAATGCAGATGCTTAATATTTACTTCTTTAACTTTAACCACACTTGTTTTTACCAAACTTTTAGATTGTTGGAGATATTACCAAGGAGAGTACTCTAGTACCTGAATACTTCAAAGGAGTGAAAAAAGTTATTAATGCTGTTTCAGTCATCGTTGGCCCTAAGGAAGGGGATACTCCTGACAGGGCCAAATACAGCCAGGTACTATTATGCCCATTGACCAGATGATGACATTTCATAATTTTCACTTCCTGTAGTTGTCGTGGTGTATCAATAAGAATTTTAAACTTTCTCTCCCCCAAATAAGTGTAGATTTATTCATTTAAGGTTTGCCTTCCATATCTTTTCATTTTTCTTCTCTTCCTGTCCTACTCCCTCACTGTTCATATATGGTGTTGTACAGGGAATCAAGTTCTTTGAACCAGAGGTGCTGAACTAATTGCTTAGCGAAAATCTCTGGAGTCCTATTCATACTTTACTAGGGAGCTTGATTTTGCATTTCATATGTTTTACCGTTATGTATTTTATAAAATTATATATATATAACTCACAAGCACTTCATTTTTCAAAATTTTTTTTTTTCATTGGCACGTGATTTTTAATTCACTATAGAGCTTTATTTGATTGATGAAAGCAGATAAAAGGTGATTCACCTGAAATGGTGGAGTATACTGGGATGAAAAATCTGATTAATGCTGTCAAGGGGAGCACTGGACTTCGAAGTGGAAAACTAGTATACGGATATGAAGGTACATCCTTGAAAAGGGAAATTGTTGATCACCACCCATAGTATTTCATAATTGAATGAGAATTTTCTATTATGTACAATTCAAATAATTACACACCAAAATGATGAGTACACGGTGAAGCAAATTAATAAGAAAAGTTCATGAGAACGCTTATTGTTATGTTGTATAGCATCATATGTTATTGCAGATGTAAATTCAATTTTTGAGTAAACAATTTCTTGTTTGTTTTATTTGTGTCTTATGTATTGGAGGTCTATACAACCACTAAAAGTTATATTAAGCAGATGGTTTAGTTAACAATAAATGGGAGCTAATAGACTCTTGACTCCTGGGGTCCTACTAAATGTTCGGCTGAACTATGATCTATGTGGTTTTCGTTTCCATAAATAACTGATGATTATCAGCACTAATGTACTTCCTAACAACTAGACAAGCAAGCAAGCCAAATTGTGCCAAGTTTTGCCAATTTGCAACTAGCTGTTTTGCAGAATTTTGTGACTACATTCGTTTCATTTCTTGTTTTCTTAATAGTACTTAATTACTATAATTATGTTCCAAATAAGTTTCTCTTCGACTATGATTCACTTCAGTTCTTATCACCATGCAGGTAATTTATCTAGAGAACTCGCTTGGGGTGCTTTAGATGATGTTGTGATGGGAGGAGTTAGTGAAAGTACATTCCGAATTGATCCAACTGGCAGTGAAAAAGGTGGACCAACAGGGGTTTTCCAAGGTTTGTTCTTCTCATATCCTTACACCTTTGTGTCTGTGACTCTGTTTCATTTTTTTAAAAGAATACCATAGCTGGTACTTCCAATGGAATTGTGGTGGTTAGTTTTCCGTATTTGAATCCATCTATTTTTTCACTTATTGTGCCCCTCCAGGTGTTGTTTCCACTGCAAACAATGGCGGCTTTACCAGTGCCAGAACAAAGGTGAGCTGCAATTTTCCTCTTCTTCTTGAGTTTTTAATGCCCTTGAAGATCATATGCTTTGATTTTCTTTATCTTTACTTAATTCATTATATAGATTAATGAATCAGGTACATCTCATTATCTAATCATAAGTGGTTACTCTATGCTAATCAGTTCCATTTCTTTACTTTATTAGGATGGCATTATAAGATCTCTTGATAGAACGTTATTCAGTTGTTTTAGCATTTGAAAGAGTCTCGTGTAAATCTATTTATCTCATTTACAGGATGGTAAGAAATGACATCTATCAGAAGTTTTCATCTTCAATTTCGTTTCCGAATCTTGACAGTTGAAGTTCATTTTCTTCTTTCTTCTTCTTCTGGAGTTCATCTTTTTATTTTTGTTGGGGTGATATCTCTCCATTTTTTAAAAGTAAGGTTCAACTTTAGGATGCCAAGGAAGTAAATATAAAGATATAATTTTCATGAAATGTTCAAATGTAAGGAATATATTAGAGTTTTTCATCCCAAACCCAACTCTAATTGTACGCACAAGCCTGTGAAAAGCTAAAAGCTTAATTGTTTCATGTTAAAATCAAGGAAAGGGCACAAGCACCATTTTTTCCCCGTAAATCACAAGCACCATTTTCTGGTCCTTAAGGTTACATTTTGTCAGATTCTAAAGTAGGAACAGTATTACTAAGTCTCTGTTCAAGAATGAATGTTAACTATAATGAGTTTATGATTATTTTGGTTGTTGCTGATATTTTCAAATTTTACAGAAGAATAAAATTATAAACCACTTCTTTTTTCCCTCTTCCTTTAATGTAATTCTCGTTTTCTGTAAACCTTTTTATATGAGTAATTAGTTAGTCGAATGCCATTTACTTGTGCAAATGAGAAAATTCCCTTGTATTTGTTCTCAGAATTTTTCAGTACCTGAAGATCTTTCTGCATATGATGGTTTGGAGCTGCGCCTCAAAGGCGATGGCCGTCGTTATAAGCTTATTGTGCGTACTAGCCGGGATTGGGATACGGTGGGTTATACATTGAGCTTTGACACTGTAGAAGGCCAGTGGCAATCGGTTAGTGACATCATACCTACATGATTGGTGAGCTATGTTAATAATTTATGTTCTTGATTTTTGATCTACTACTTCCAGGTACGCTTGCCATTTTCTTCTTTGAGGCCAATATTTCGAGCACGAACTGTATCAGATGCACCGCCCTTTGACCCAAGCAAGATTTTATCATTGCAGGCATGCTTTTGTGTTTCGATATATATATATATATATAAGAAAAAAAATTAAAGTAGAAACTCATGAAGCAAAAAGAAAGACAATAAATATATATATATATATATATATATATATATATATATTATTTTATTGATGGATTCAAAATCTTTCCAGCTCATGTTCAGCAAGTTCGAATATGATGGGAAATTAAATCCAACGTTTATAGAAGGTGCATTTCAGCTTCCAGTATCAAGCATACGAGCATATATAAAGGATCCCATCACTCCCAGGTTTACCATTTCTCTCGTCTTTGTTGAAATTGATTCTTTATGTGTTTATTGTGCCTTGATGTAATCAAACCGTTCTGATGACATTACTGTGTTTCATTAACTTTGTGGTTGTATCAAAGGTTTGTGCATGTGGGCTCTGCTGGGGTTACCCGACCTGACAGACCTGGACTTGATTTAAGCAAACAGCCTCCTGCTGTCCGCTTAAACAAGGAATTGGACTTTATTCTCACATTCAAGTTGAAGGTAACACTATCTCTATGTACACTATTCTTTTATTATACATCACGACAAATATTTAATTTTCTAGCTTTACTTATCCTGTGGCAATACCATTATGTTGTTTGCAAAATGTGAGCACCATTCTCTAGTCTGTCCATCAAATTTCTAAAAAGGTAGTTTGTGGTAATGAGTGAATCTGTTGCAATTGAATGACCTGTAATGTGGTTATAATTAAAAAGAAAATTTAAGATCGAGTATGATAGAGGCAAGGATGCCGACAACGACTTTTTTAAGATCGAGTATGCTTCCTCTGCATACAGGTCACTCTCCGGTTTTTATTGCCGAGTTACCCTATATAGTACCTTTTGCTTCGGAAATATGACACCTGCTTATAGCTTAACAAAAAAATCCTAGATTAACAATTTTTTTATATATATAATTAATAAATATCTTGATATAGTAATACACAAAGACATATACAACATTAATTCTATAATTTTGGAATCTTGTCTGTTTTGTGTTAGCAAGCCAGCTTGTTTGAATTCAGTTCAACTCAACAACGTGTTGTCACAGTTAATTAGTTTTAGCAACACCAATTCTATTTTAGTCTACCACTGCATGTGAATCATATTTTTTATCAAGTCCTCAGCCATATGTATTTTTATTGTTTATTTTTCGTTTTCTTATACTGCTTGCTTTTGCCATAGGGGGAAGATTTGATACGAGAAAGTGGAATTCCATATACAATTGTTAGGCCTTGTGCATTAACTGAGGAGCCTGCAGGAGCTGATCTCATTTTTGATCAAGGAGACAATATAACGGTATTCACAAATGGATGAAGTTTGTTACTGCTTTTAGAGTTTTCCTGTTGTCATACGTTGCTTCAGGCTTTTCTAAAAACATGCCAATTTTAAACAAAGAAATTGATTACTAAAATCTGGTTGATAAAGATTTAGTTCATGAATTGCACATTGCAGGTAATTGCTTTAACTTCTGATTACTCAAAAGAAAATTTTCATATATATGATATATGCAGGGAAAGATATCGAGGGACGAGGTTGCTCGAATATGTATTGCTGCTCTGGAAAGCCCTTACGCATGTGACAAGACATTTGAGGTTATACTCTTATTATACCTTCCACCATATTTGCAAGGTCAATAAGTGCATTTAGTCGCCAGAAAATACTGAATGATAGTATACGATTATTAAATTTGCTGCATTATGTTTATTTGGTATGTTCTTCAGGATTTGCATTTTCGTATGTAAGGATTGCTGGCTATGTGAAGTTTTGTTGAAAAAATAGTATCTTATATAATTATCTGCTGATGTAAGAACCTCCAAATAGTTCATGCAAGCCACTGACTAATGATGGCATATTTTGTAAGAAAATTTCATGTTGAAGAAATTATTAAACATCCCAGCTTTTTGAAGAAATACTTAAACGTGTCAGCTTTTAAGTATATTTTAACTTTCATAAGGTCAGTTTCTCTGTGTCTTTTCTAGTATTATTTGTTGTGTTTACGTTGTTTAAAGAAAGGGGCTTAAGAGAGCCAATGAACGTAGATAACCTAGTTAGGCCATGCATTGCAAAGAGTAGGTATCTTTTTTGTTTGTTCCCTGAGTGACACTAGAATATACTGTCATATTTCTCACTAGCCTTTAGACTCTTAGCTTGATTGGTATCTCCTACGCCCAAAGGGTTCAATTCCCTGTTGGGATGCTGGTTTGTGTGTGAAATTTTTTAAAACATATGTTTTCAAATTTTCTTTAGATTTCAATGGAAATTTCCCACGCTCAAAGGTTCTTTACCTATCCTGTAGCTATAAATTTTTCTGCATCTTTAATTTTTCACTGTGTCACAGGCTCTCAATATGATAGAGAACTGTAAAAGGTACACAATAGTACTGGATCTGTATGCCCCATTGTGTTAGATAGGGCTTGTTATTTTCAATCATGTTTTGACTTGTTAACCATGACACACCGTAATAAGGGGAATGCTAGCCTGCTGCACATAGTTAATTGGCGATGAGTGAAAAGCACTTCAGTTCTACATGTCCAAGATGGAGAGTTTCTCAAGTTACACAATCATGCTCTACTCTGGATTTCTGAAGCCTGATATTCTAGAATGTAGTTCCCCAATTAGTTTTAATGATTCAGCGTGGCACACCTTAGTTTTGGGGTAATAGCACATATAGACATGTTTGCTTAGGCTTGAAGTGAGTGGCAGAATTTTGTAACTCGTGCTTTCGCACCCTAACTTGAAGCTGAAAATAATTTTTGTAGCTAGGAAAATTGAATGCATAGAAGTGGGTGTTGGACAATTCTAACATGATGCTTCTTTTTTGTTCTGCAGGTTAAGAGTGTGGTTCCATTTAGTGAGCAATACACAGTAGACCCTGAAAACCCTCCACCTGAGAAAGATTACAACATATACTTCAAAACTTTGAAAGATGGCATAACAGGGAAAGAAGTCTTAGAAAAAAGTCCTGTACCTGTCTAATTTCCATTCATGGTGAGGCAGCTTTTAACATTACACTAGTGTAATATTGGGGATTATTGTACTTTCGATCTTCAGACTGCTAATTTCAGAGTCATAGTAACTTTCGAAAAATTAACTTTCATTTGGTACTTATTCAACAAAAAGCTTCAGGAAACTTCAATTCGTTGAACGGGTTTGCTTGTGTTTGTTTTGGTTTCAAGGTTTCAAGCTGTCTGTTGAAAGGATAGGGTCCCAACACCTTCCACTGTTGATTGGTGCAGTAATGCAAATTGAGGAGCTTGGAAGTTAAATTTTTTTTTCCTGCTTCACCGTCACCAGAAAATATCTGTTATAAGAGAAAAGGCAGAGGCATATTAGAGACTGAGAAAATCAAGTAAGAGAGATATAGCATGTTCTAGAATTACATTCGGACAATTATCTGTTAGTAGATGTCCTTATGTTTAATTTGACCATAGTTACTCACAACCAAAAGGGTGAATGTTTTTTTATTTTAATTATTAAAAGTTTGTCCTGTACATATTCATGCGTATACAAGTATGCATTCGGTAACTAAAACTATCAATTTCTGATAACTTTTGGTGAAATGTTGTGGATTGTAGTTGTTATTCTTTACGTTTTTATCATTTATCATAAAAAAAAATGTTGTACAGTTTGTGCAACTGGAAGCTAGTTAGCCATGCGTAGGACTGCAAACGAGCCAACCTGAGCTCGAGCTTGGCGAGTAATGTTTGATCTGAGCTTGAACGCTCTTATATGGGCTTGACTCGTGCTGGAGCTCAACGACCAAACTCGAGCACAAACTTGAACAGCTGAAACCTCGGCTTGGCTGTTCTCTTTTGCAGCCCTAGACACTTGTTTGGTGAAAGTATAATCTTACATGACATGACAGAATATATATAGAGAGAATAAAGATGAAGCCATGACAGAGATTGTTGCATTTAGAAAAAAATTCTAAATACTACATGAGATGAAAGTTTTCCTCACTAAACTCCTCTTTTCATCCATCATGTATGATAACCATACTACTAGAGATCAAAGTCATTGTCTTGCTGTACTTTTACTGTTAAAATTCCTTTTACTGTTGGAATATTTTTGTGTAGCAGCAAAACTTACCTGCATTGTCTAGCTATACTGTCTATTTTTAGGATATCAATGACCAGAGAGAAAGAGGATGGAAAATCTTTGTTGGGTTGCTATAAACAGCTGGTGGTCCAACTGCAGGCGCCAGACTATTTGAAATTCAAAATGCTGTGATTGGGTCATTTTTGAATTAAAAAATCTAAGAGGTTTGAAAATTAGGTTTCTTTGGGATATTTGCAGGAGCAGTGAGTGCAATAAGAAAGGGATCTTTACAGTACACAGTACACTATAGCTCCAAATCCCTGTTAAGATCACAATCAATATGGATGATGGGGGCATAAGTATAGTCCCTATCATTAATGTCAAATTGTCAATAAATATATATATATATATAATGAGGACGACTACTTACAGTCGCGGTAGCTACTATCCTTCAACAGTTGCATGTATGTATATAGTTAATTTTCTGTGACCGTCAATGCATTATTTCCTTTTCTTCTTTCTTCTTCTTTTTTTTTTTGTTCTTTTTTTTTTTTTTTTTATTCCAATCCATTCTATACTTTTTTCAAAGAAATTATTATATCAAAATCAATCATTTATCTTTGTTATCATCTACTATAATTTTCTATCACTCATCAAACCATCTTATTATATCTAAAGTTTGATTCCTATTACCATTATACTTCTCTCTTTCTTTCTATTAAATCATTCATTTCTAAAATTTAAAAATAACAAAAACTCAATTATACAATTTTACTTCAACTAAAATTCAATAAGTGTGATTATCCCATAACCGCTATACTTCTCCCTCCCTTTTTGTCTTTATTAAACCATTGGCTTCGATGTTCTACAAATAAACTAAAACTCAATTATACAATTTTACGTCAAAGAAAATTTAATTTTATAATTTACTTCAATTAAAATTTACAGTTATGAAAACTCACATCCAAAGTATAAACAATGGTATGGGACCTCACAAGGGGAATAGGAAAGTGAGCCCCATATTACAGTGACAATAAGAGAAAAAGATTTAGCTATATACACTATATGTTATATATATATAGACACGGAAGAGTAGGGGTGGCAAAAATTCCCAATTCGGTGGGAACCGCCCCGTCCCCGTTCCATTTAAAGCGGGTTTGGAGAACCGTTTACTTAAATGGGGTGGGGATGGGAGTTAAAAAAAAAAAACCGGCCTGTTGCGGGGCGAGGGACTAAGATCCCTGCCCATACCCGCCCCATAACCGTCTCGTTTAATATTTTAAATTATTAATTTATCTACCATGTTAATATATTTACCAAATTAACCTTCACTCTCTCTTTCTCTCTCTATATTGAAAACCCTACACTTAACACTTCTATATATATATATATATATATATGTATATATATGTGTACATGTGCTATGATTGTGTTTAAATAAAAATATAATCGGTTATAGGGCGGGGGCGGGGCAAGTGGGGCGGGGGCGGTTACGAGGATTAGAAGCAAAAAATTAACTGATTATGGGGCGATTTTGGGGGCACCAAAATTAAACGGGGGCGGGGGCGGGGGCGGGGATGGGGAATGGAAAACCCGCCCCAAACTGCCCCATTGCCATCCCTACGAAAGAGAAGAAAGAATATTAGTCAATAAAACTAAAGAGGGTAATATTATCTTATAAAATAAGATTTTAATGCTCCATAAAAATAGAAATACTATATTAATATAGTTACTTTTTTAACCAATCACATCTGCAACTGTTGAAGGTGTGTAATTATCAGTCCTCTATATATATATGTATATATATATATAAAACTTGCTCAGGATGAATTTGTTTGGAAATATGAGAGTAAAAACTATAAGAATATCCATCACAAAAATATTCCTAGAAGAATATATGATTAAGGTAAGCTAACGGGTGAAATCCAAGCCATTATTAGTCTACATGTAAAGAGTAAAGAATATTTGTCTTTTTCAGGATATTTGGTCCTCATAATTGGTTAGATACTTTACAGGAGTGTTAACCAAGGCTCTGTTGTGGTTTTATGTCATGTCTATGGGGATTGAGGAACATTAATTGTTCTAATTCTATATAATTAGATTAAACTCTTTTTTTTTTCGCAATTAAGAATCAAATAAGAATTCACTTTCTTTTTCTATATAAATGAATATAGAGTACTGATAGGGAATTCAACAGTCAGATAAATTTAACTAATTTTAAATAAATAACTATTGACATAATCATGATATCAGAGATATTAAGGACATCATTAGAACCTCAGCCCTCTCTCGTATGAATTAATTAAAGTTGTCCTATTTTCTATGAATATATATTGACGTGCATGACGTCTCATATTTATTAAAGAAGTGATTGGATAGATGGGATTTTTCACTATATAACTTTTAATTAACAACAAACACTTTTTATTTTATTTTAAATATATATAAACAGCCATTTTGGTAGTATTTGAAAGAACAAGTGGATTGAGGAGGATGTGGACTAGGCATGGCTGCACCTGCTGGTCATAGGAAAGGGCGATACATGCAGATTGTCGACTTGTAGCTAGAGTGAGGACAGATTGGTGCCTAATCCACTGCCTTCCTTGTGCAGACTAGTTATTCCCTTTTGTTCCTTCCAAAATTTTTAGATTCCAATGGTGGTAGACACCCACACGTTTGTGTGTGTGAGTTTATACAAACATTGTGTGTTGGGGCCAGTGTTCATGATTGAAGAAGAAAAACATGTAACTTGGACCTGTAGTTTTGAAGCTTGTGGGATCAATTCTTTAATTATGTGCCTCACTCTAAAAGCGTTTGCTAACTTGTCCTTGAAAAATCACATTCAGTATATTTAAACACTTTTTTTTTTTTTTTTCCTCCTTATATAATTTTTTCCGATATTTGAACCTCGCCCTTCTAATAAGGTTAGGTCACTAACCCATTAATGGAGAAAGAAAGAATTATATATGTAATAATTATAATTTCTATAATAAGTACTTTATTTATTGACATGATTTTTTTTTTTGTACGACAGCAACCCAAAGAAAACAAGCAACACAAAAGAGCTGACATGATTTTATTTATTTATTGACATGGTTTAAAAAGCAAAAGTTATATGAATTGTATATGCCTGGACTAGTATAGTAGATCGGAATAACATTGTTTATATATATATATATGTGTATATATTTCAACATTGTTTATATATAAATAGTCATAACATGCCTAACACAGTAACTCTTCAAAATTTAGGAAATTTAAATTTAATATGAAAAGTCACCGTCACTGTTGGCGACTGGTGTAGGTTTCTTTGCTACAGTGTAATGACAAAATGTCAAGTGACAATGATACCGCGGTTTGAGAGTACATCTGACGAATGTGAGGTTTGTACTTAGATAATTTTATTTATTTTTTAAATTTCTCTTGTGAATTATTTAAATAACAAAGATCTCTTTAATTTCAAATATGACACTAATCTTCCATTCGGCTAAGGTTTAAGTAATAGTAATCTCTTTTATCATAATATTTGACACTTTTGTGTACTAATGTCACACTTAAAATTCATTTAAAATCCAAGAGTGACTTTAAAAAACTTAAAAATGTTAATTTGTCTAGACGTTCAATACTCAGTAAAAATATAATGACAATAATAGTCATTTTACACATTCAGGTCGAAATCAATACTGACAAGGGAAGTCATTGTTATTTTTAAAATTACAAGAAGGCAATCTACAAGCAAGATAAGTATAATTATCTCTTTCTCTTCGGTGAGACATGCGCTGCATATTAACCTATTTTCAGTTATATGATGGGTTGTGTATGTCCATTACTTCTATAAAATTAAAGAGGATAAAAAGAACATTTTCACAAGAAAGGGTGAAACCATATATGAAGTTATCTCAGCAAGCTTACGTGTATAATGATTCTATACTGTTATTTTTATGTATAATGATGTGCCTTGAATTCATAAATATTTTTTAGCATGTTGCATCTTGGTTTTTAAGCCCAAACAATTCTGTTGACATGTACAGAAGGACTGCAACACTTGACATCCTACGTGAATTACATATGCTTGTTCACTTTATAGAGTTTGAGAAACATTCAAAAATTCAATTGTCTGCCCACTGTATTGCATTAATTATAGACACACACAAAGATATATAACTAAAGTAAAAATTACTGCTGGAATGTAGTTTACATTCTCTGTTAAAAAAAAAAAAAAAAAAAAAAACTACTAGTTGAATTACTTTTTCAGAAGTTAGGCAAGTAGAGATATGCATAATTCAATTTAAGACATGGACACAATAAGAAAGATAAAAAAGTGAAGAAGCAGCAAACGCAGCCTATAAATATATGCATTTCCCATGTATATTCTGTCCAGAAATGAATTTTTACAATAGCCAAAAATATATATATATATATATACCTAAATACCATAATGAAAATAAGGTTACAAGCTTAAATTCAGCATTTCTTTGGAGAGCACCAAAATACCTGCATAGCAAAGAGTTACATGTATCATATATCATACTCAAAACAGAGAGACTGTAAATTCATGTGTGTGTATAATGTGTGTATATATATATATATATATCTCAAGAACTTGATAAACTAGGAATTAATTAAGAGAATGGAGGTCCATACATTGAAACAAACTTTGTATCTTCTTCGACTGCGTGCTTCAAGAACTTTTCTAAGCTTTGCGAGCATCTCATCTTGGGTGAATATTTTGCCCGGTGAGCTCATGAAAGCGCGACGTTGAATCGGAGGAGACCACAATCCACTCTGAGAATAATCAAAGTCAAATTCAGAGACATCAGAGAATTTAACAAGTAGTCTCTCTGATACAGACTTGGACACCAATTGGACCCTCAGAGGAGAGGCCTCAGGGCATGAAAGTGAAGGTGAAGGTGAAGTTGAGATTTCAGAGATTGACATTGATATTATTATTATTATTAGGTTTGAACAAAGTTCAGAAGATAACAATATTGTGAAGAAGATTGGGATTGGGATTGGGATAGGTGAGATTTGAGTAAGAGACAAACATTGGACTTACTTAGCAGCTAGGAAGAATGTGAAGGTCAGAAGAATGTGATAAAGACGTGTATGGCTGTATGCAATCATGGAGTGAACATGGGTAGCATGATTGGAGCCTAAATTTTGGTGTATCAATATCATGACCTAAAATTAAAGAAACATGTTCTTTTTTTTTAGCTAACATTTTTTTTTTTCAACTTTCAAAAGTTAATTAATTTATTTATATATTTTTATACATACATATTTTGGATGATAATGAGAGAGAAAAGGAAATGGTTCTTGCACCGAATAGTTGCAGTGAATTGGTAGGCCTACTATTTTAATTGGTCAATTATATAACAAATTAGAAGGTGTATTTAGTATAAATAGTCAATTAAAAATTAAAGAAGATGTATTTAGTATAAATAGTCAATTAAAAATTATTGAGTTAGACAATTCACCACAAAATATTGGATGTCAATATCAGTACTTGAGAGTGAAAATAATCAATGAGAGGCCCTCTTCAAAGCAATTACAATTAGCAAAAAAGGTGAAATTGAATAATGATTTATTATCCTGTTAGTTTCCTTTATGGTTGCCAATTAAAAATAAAGCCCACTCAACTGTTGAGAATTTGAGAATTTTTAAAACTTCTTTATTGTATGATTTTCTGTTGCACCTATTTATTTTTATGTTAGTGGCCTAGTTAGTTATTTTGATTTTATTCTGGCAATTTATCTTATTTATAATTCGGTTATTTATATGTTTTATTGGGCCCATTTAATTGGGTTGAGCTCTTGGGCTTTGCCTATAAAAGTTGGGTTCTATTCTTAGTTGTTCAATTAGCCAGGGGAATAGAAAATTTCAATTTCCAGTTATGGCCGCCCAGAACTAGGGCCCATCTTAAGCAGGGTTGCCGGCTGGGCCGGGCTTCAAAGAGGAGGCTACAGGGCATGCCCCATTCACTTCACATTCCCCGATTCCCATCACTTCAATTTTTTTTTACTACGTATTTTATTTTATTTTATTTTATTTTTTGGAGAACATAAAATGTACCCGTGTTAGACAATCTGCACTAGTCTCTCCGGATTTTGGCTCTCTAAAAATATCACATTAGCTTTTTCAAGAGTCACGTCAGCAATTCCAAGAGTCACGTTAGTAGTTTTCGCTCTCCAGAAACATGCACTCTATCAGGCTTTTCGAATTTTCGCTCTAAAATAATAATAATAATAAAAAATTAAAATTAAATTTTTTTTAACTTTTTTTTTTTAAAAAACTTTTCCTAAACGGTTATATTCGTAATGTCTATATTTATAAGGATTAAAAATAATGAATTGGAATAAGAAAATAAGGATTACAAAATCCTATGGAAATAAGTAGATGAATTTGTAATTTTAATTATTTTTTTTACAAAAGTTACCAAAAATATATATATATATATATTTTTAAAAATTATAGCCATTAAGGCACTATTTGTGTCGGCCAAATAGTTTGTGGTACATATTTTAAATTTAAAGCAAAAAAATAAAAAACAAATTTTAAGGGGAAAAAAAAAAGAAGAAGCTTTTTAAATTTATTTTTGGCCCAAATAATTTTTTTTTCGATAAACAATGCCTAAACAATATATATTTTTATTGTTTGAATTTTATTTTAATTTTTTTAAAAAAAAAGAGCTCAAAATAACATATATTTGGGGTTTTTTTTAAAAAAAATATAATTCTGCACTATTTGGCCACTGTTCCAATAGGCATAGCATAAGACAAAACAGGCAACCAAAAACGGCGCCATTTTGCAGCAAATAAAAAAAAAAAAAAAAAAGTGCAGCGATCACGGGGTGGTTCGCGTGAGCCGGCTCGCTAGCAAAAATAGAGCCCACCATTTTAGCAATGGCGTTGTGCGCCCAACAGGCCCTTGGCTCGCGGAAATTGGGCTTCCGCGAGCCTATTGCAGATGGCGTTAGTGATGACAACAGGACAGTTTTGGACAAGTATATCTTTCCTCACTCTTGCAACCGTTTAGAAGCTTCTACCCCTTCCCTGCCCAAAACCTCCTAAACAGGAGGCCTTTCCACACTATCCCCACTCCGTTTTACTTTTTCACCCCCACGAGCACCCACCCGTCTCGTTTAGTTCCAAAATTTCTCTACATTTTATATTTTTTCTCTTAAATATAATTATATAACTATTGAAAAAATTCAAAAAAATTGGGCAATCAATAATTTAATATAAAATTCAAGGGTATGAACATTTTTATTTTGTAGGGCTATGTCACTCTCTAAAACAGTTAAAAAAGTGAGTGAATGTGATCTAAAATTTCTAGAGATAATTATATATACTAATAAAATACGTATAATTTAGTAGGGCGAGGTGACCTCCCCTCTCCCTCTATAATAGTTATGCTTATATATATGTATATGTATATATATTAAAGTTAAGATTTTTTTTCAAAAGTAGGTGAGCCCCACCAATAACTTAAAAACATGACTAAAGGCCATAAGGCCATTATGCAGACATATATTTCTCTCTCTCTCTCTCTGCTTCCGGCCTTCTCTCGGCATCTCTTTTCTTTTTCTCTTTTTGTAATTTTAAGCTTTGATCTCATCTTCACCAATTGGATTTTGGTAGAACATTGTGAAGAAAGTTGTTGAGCTCGTCGAGCCCGTTAATTTGATAGGAGCCAATCATCATTTGGTGCACTCTAGGGAGTTCAAAATTCTAGAGTTCTTGGGCTCAAATTGGGGGTTTTCATCAATTTGAGGTAGGGGTGTTCTAATCTACAACTTCTTAGCTCTTTTTGTGAATTTTGCCCCTTAAATTTAATCCTAAGCATGCTAATTTTGATTATCTAGTTTGTGGTTGAAGCATGTTTAACTAAAATGCTAAATGTGTTCCATGTATTATTTGAATTCATATATATGACTAGATTTATTACGGTGATTGAGCATGTTTGGTGTTGACATGTTGTACGTCCTAAGATCATGTGTTTATTTATTTATTTATTGCTTTGAAAGAAAATGATGCTATGGTCAATAAATAAATAAATAAATAAAAGAAATGAATGCTTATAAATTTCTATTAAATTGTGATGATGATGTAAATGGAATGTATGAAAGCCTATGGTTGAATTGATAAATTGAAGCATGCGCATTCATGCATTCATTGGGAAAGAGAAAGGGGGAAAAAAAATGTTTTTTTTGAACAAACGAAATTATTTTGGGGAAAATATTTTTTTTTAAAGGAGTTTGCGAAAACCGGACGCCTAGGAGGCGCCTAGTGGTCCGTGGTGTTAGTGTAGTCTAGAAGGGATCATGGTTGAGCTAACTAGGCCGGATGCGACGCCTTGGAGGTGCCTTGTGGTCGTGGATAGTTAGTCAACCCTCCATTCGTGACGCCTTGAAGGTGCCTTGGGTCGGATTACACTAACGGTTTTGGAAGTTGAAACGGAAATGTTTCGAAAAATGGGGAGTAACATTTGCATATTGCACTTCATGACATTGTGGTAAACTTGTGATTGGGTGGTATTTGTTACATACTTGTTATTGTATTTGAGAGTGTGTGTTTCCTTATAGCATGATCCCTTTCACTTTTTTATCTATTCATTGTATGGATTCACGGAGATATAAGAAGTGTGTCTTAGACACTTCCTACTGAGCTTATGCTCACCCCATTATTTCTAATATTTTTCAGGACATGGAAAAGAGGTGGCGGACAACGATCCACCACGATTTTAGACGAGCACGGAGACCTATTTTATTTTTTATTTTTTGCTATCTTTTGTATTAAAACTCTATAATATTTTGTAAATGTAATATTAACTAACTCGTAAAACTTTAGTTTAATTAGTATAATGTTATAAGTCATGGACTTTTAAATTCTAACTACGCTTTTTGGACTGTAACTTGATGTAACCAAAGTATGTTCCTTGTTGGATGAGATGGAGGAATGGGATTTTGTATGTATGTAGTCACTTTGGAGATGTGATATAATATATGTATATTGCGTTGGGACAGGATATGTTAAATTTAAGGCCCAGTGAGGCCATTGTATTTATTTTTTGTATTTCAATAGATTGTTTAGAGGCATTTTCTGCGGAAGTCATGTCGAAATTTTTATAAATTTTTATTATTATTTTGGTATTTATTCGAGTCGTTACACCCTCATCCCAAACTTACCTGTTCTCGTAGGGTAAATTGTCATTCCTAGACCGAGTAAGTCATTCCTAGACCGAGTAAGATTGAATAAAAATAAAAATAAAAATAAAACACAAAAACTAAAAGAGAAAAATTATCATAAATCATTAGATAAATTTGCAACTATAATTTGTCCTATTTTTTTTTCTTGAATAAAAAAATTGAACGCCCAACACCAACATAATCACCACCATTTTAAGTGACTAAATTACCCTTATTTCCCACCACTCAAATGAGAAAATTGAACTTTGTACAAGAAAACGAAGGCCATTTAAGTCCTTTCACAAACAATTTCCTAAAAACCCAATTGGAGAGAAAAACACAAACGCCTTTCCACTTTACGAATCCAGCCGAGCAGACAGCGGTCTCTACCATTTCCAGCTTTCCTTTCGGTCAAAAGACCGGAGGAGAAAGTTTAGAGAGAGAAACATCTTAACAACTGCAACCCACCTCTCCATTCCCTTTTGCAAACCCCACCTCCATTTAACGGAACAACTGTAAAAGAATTATATACTGTACATCTTTATATTGTTAGAGAGAGAGAGAGAGAGTAGTAGTGTTTGGAGTGATGGCTGGATACAGAGCCGAAGATGACTATGACTACCTCTTCAAAGTGGTTCTGATCGGAGATTCGGGTGTTGGCAAGTCCAATTTGCTTTCTAGGTTCACTAGGAATGAGTTCAGCCTCGAATCCAAGTCCACAATCGGTGTTGAGTTCGCCACCAGAAGCTTGAATGTTGATGGCAAGGTTATCAAAGCTCAGATTTGGGATACTGCTGGTCAAGAAAGGTGAATTTCTCCCAATTCTTCTGTTTTTTTTTTTTTTTTTTTTTTTTCTAATTTTATTTATATACTGTATTGGTTTTGTGTGCCTGTGAAACTGTAAATGCTTTATTGGTTGTTTCTCTTTGAGGGTATTTGTTTTTCCCCATGAATTTTGGTATTATGATCTGGGTTTAGCTTATTTGTGAAGACATGAATGCTATGTTGGTTGATCTTCTATTAGGAATTTAGGATCTATGGGGGTACTATTTGTTTGGTGATTTTAGCAGGTCTAAGGTTAGGGTTTAGGTGTATCAATGATCTGGGATTCGGTTCTAAGAGATCTGGTTGTTTGGATGCAATAATGGGTTTCTCTGATTTTGATCTGAAAATGGTTTTTGATCTGGTGCACTGTTGGTAATTCCCTCTGTGCTTTGGTAGAAAGTAGATTTTACTAGGGGTAGGTACTTAGAAAAACATTGATTGGAGGTAGATCAAGCTTGGATTTATTTGATGAACTAATAGATCCTGGTTTTCTACTGCTTGTTTTCTGAGCTGTCTGTGATTCATTGAGGTTGTTCCCATTAACTTGACAATGAATTGAGAAAATGAGGTGAAACGTTTGGAGTCTTTTTTCTGGACTGCTGTATTTTTACATCCCATGAGGACAGTCTGTACCCATATCTAAATTGGTCATATAAAACTGTTGCACCTTCTTGGTGCACATTGTTTATGTGAGATATTTGCCAAAGATTGCGATCTTGATTGGTATGGTTTGTTGGAGGTTTGTGCATACACTAAGTTTTGTTTCAAGTACACTTTACAGTGCATTGCACATTTCTAATGCTTTATAGATCAAACATCTAGATCTGCAACATATTGTTTTTTAATATATAAATGCACATTAGATAATCTATATACAAGTGAAAATCATGCATACTTTCTTTTGTTAGAGAAATTCTTGTAGCAAGCCTAAGAAACTAACAATTATATAGTAATTGATGGTTGGAGAAGGAAGGTAGCTTATTATATGAAGATTTGGTGACAAAGGAACTCCTATTAAGAATTTGAGTGTCTGGGAGAGAAATGACTCTATTTTATAGACACTTTAGTATCATATTACAAATTTGATGAATGATAAATATATATGGAACGTCGTTCCTAGTTTTATCTTATTAAGAATGCCATCAATCTACACAGATCAAATGGTTTAAGTCTTTGTTTATTTTATTTATAAAATATAAAATATAAAAACTGTATGGAACCGTTTTTACTTATCCAAAAAAAAAAAAAAAACTGTATGGAACCGTCACATTTAAATAATGAGTATAAGTAAATTCCATAGCTATTTTATTTTGTTAAAGAATCTCAAGTATCAAGACTATAAACCGCCAATTATTTGGTATTTGATAGTTGGAGAAGGACAGTGACTTAATTGGAAACTTTGTGAAAAGAGAACACCTTCCTGGAATTTAAGTGGCTTGAGCAGCAACTGATTTTTTTAGAAAGATTAGAAGACCCAGCTTTGTTGGGTACTGGACATTGAATAAGTGAGACATTGTCTCGACTGAGTTGTCATGATATTGTAAGATATCCAGTGAGACATTTTGCATGGCAGCATTATCTCAGATGAGATAAGTGACTTGCCTTGTGATTCAATGCCAGCCTGGCAGATGACATTGTCGTGCTATCATATTTTATTGGGTTTTGTTCACTGGAAACCTTATCAATATGTATTGGGTTTTGTTCACTGGAAACCTTATCAATATGTATTGGGTTTTCTTCACTATGTTTCTGGAAACCTTAGCAGATTTTTTGTTTAAACTAGATTTTATTGGTGCGTCTGGTTGTTTGGTAAGGGGTGGGTATTGTGGTGGTGTTGATGTGGTCGTATTAGGGTGGATTTTCTGTGATTTGGTGGTTGTTTTCGATATGGGTGTTACTGGAAGATACTTAGAGCCGGCTACAAGGATGCCTCACACTTCCCTTCCTGCCTGTGCTGGTATTTCTCTTATGGGAGTGGGCCAATGAGATAGATGAGCGATCTGATGATTTGGAATCCTAATCAAAGCAGGCAAACAAGAAGAACGAAATAAAAGAGAAAAAATGGCGGCCCTAAATCTTATCTGTTCTGGTCAGAGCATTACTAGCTGACACTCTTAAAAAGACTACTGCCATCCTCTCTAGTAAGGGATTCAACAGTGGCAGTAGTAGCATAGATCTTGAGTTGAGGTTTTAACATCTGGAACCGTCACATCTAAATAATTTGAGTACAAGTAAAAACCATATATTTTATTTTGTCAAATAATCTCAAGTATGAAGACCATAAACCAGCAATTATTTGGTATTTGATAGTTGGAGAAGGACAGCGACTTAATTTGAAGATTTGGGAAAGGAGAACTCCTTCCTGAAATTTGAGTGGCTTGGTAGCAATTGATTTTTTAAGATAAGATTACCTATATTACCCAGCTTTGTTGGGTACTGGATATTGCATAAGTGAGACATTGTCTCGACTGAATTGTCATGATATCGTAAGATATCCCATGAGACATCTTGCACTCTTGGATGAGACCAGCGACTTGCCTTGTGATTCAGTGCCAGACAACATTGTCGTGCTATCATATTTTTGTTTCAGAGACCAGCGATATTGAGATGACTCGAGGCGTTGTGGTTTCGGGTGAGACTTTGAACCATGGGATCAATATGTATTGAATTTTGTTCACTGTATTTCTGGAAACCTTAGCAATTTTTTAAACTAAATTTTATTGGTGCCTCTGGTTGTTTGGTAAGAAGTGGGTATTGTGGTGGTGGCACCGTCATATTAGGGTGGATTTTCAGTTATTTCGTGGTAATTTTTCGATATGGGTATTACTGGAAAGATATTTAGAGCCTAACTATCAAAAACTTTTCAGCCCCGGTAACGGCACCAACGGCTGAAAAGTGGCTTGATAGTTGGGCTTTAAATATCTTTGGTTGATCAAGTGGTGGTGATGCGACTTTGGTGTGTACCACAAAAATGTGTTATATTTGCAATGTCAAATGGGCATCAACTTTTACATTTATAAATGCCACTTAACACATATACGTTAAGTATAGTGAGAAGGGATCGTCCATAGGGACCAACGGCTTGAGATAATTTAAAATTAGTGAACAAGTGATTTTGTAGAAAAGATAGTTTGTTTAAAATCCTAATTAAACTAAACAAAATAATAGATGCAAATAAAATAAATGATAAATGGATTACGGAATGGAGATATAGATACTTAGGTCATGGACTCCACCTTTGGCCTTGTAAATGTACCATTGCAATCAAATTGGGAAAAGTACTTGGGCAATAAAAGAATTGTAGCTACAAGCACACAACCATGGTCAAGAAGATACGTAAATTGCATCAATAAGTATAACCCATCAAATCCAAGCATGAATTGTCTACCTACCTATTTTTACACTTGTAGTACAACCCATCAAATCTAAGCATGGACTATCAAATTAATTGCAACTACATCAATTTAATTATGCAATAATGGAATTGTGGCTACAAGCATACAATCATGGTCAAGAAGATATGTAAATTGCATCAATAAGCATAACCCATTAAATCTAAGCATGAATTGTCTACCTACCTACTTTTACACTAGTAGTACAATCTATCAAATCTAAGCATGGACTATCAAACCAATTGCAACTACATCAATTAAGCACCATTGTTTAACCATCATTCACACAACTACAAGAAGTAAAGATGTTGAGATTAATCAACCACAATCAATGCATAAGACAATGTAAAGATCATATGAAGACTAATGAAAGAATTAAATACATAACTAATCTCGATACAACCAAAGATAAATCGCAAGGTTAAACAATCTACACAAATAATCCCCAAATTTAAAGACAAATAATACAACACTTGGCTTAGAGCTTAATCCAAGCCCTAAGAGAAGAAATTGGTAGCCATAGAGATGATGAAGATGAACATCGATGCTCCAGTCCCCATCTCCAAGCACAGCCCAAGGTCTTCAGTGGTGGAAGAGAGGGTTTCTAGAGAGATAAAGTCTTCAAAGCATGGCTTCTCATCAACTCCAATCCGCATCCTCATCCAAACGAGGCTTAATCCTTCATATATGCTCGATTTTTGGCTCTTGGATGGTCAGAACTTGTCCCAAGGATCTCCTCTTTCAAGCACAGCCTGAGTTGGGCACAAATGAGCTGTAGATCTGACTTTATAACAGCACTGCGCGATTCACGATCGATCCTATTTCTGCCACGATCAATCCTACTTTTCCCACGATCGATCCTATTTTTCCAGGATCGATCCTACTTCTGCTTTTGGCTTTTTTGTGTTTTTTTCTTCTTCGCTGCAGTTTGGTTGACTTCAAAAAGACTTTAATGTACTGGATTTAGCCCGTTTAAGCCTTATTAATCTGAAATCGACAATAAAACAAATTTAGACTAAAACGGGAAAATAAAGATAGATAAAGGTTCTATTATACCCAAGATTAGGGGCTGAAATGTGCATATTTCAGCACTTATCATGGGTATTACTGGAAAGATATTTAGGGCCGGCTATAAGAATGCCTCACTTTGTATAGATCTTGAGTTGAGTTCATTTATGTTTATTTTCCCCTTAAATATGTTTAGTAATTGCAATCTCTCTGTGTCTCTTTCTTGTCCCTGTTCCCTTTCCCATTCTATCTATATGTGTTACTGCAGAGGGGGTCCATCACTTCTTTACTTGAACTATGGGGAATTTTCCTCAAAAAAGGAAATTGGAGTTGAAAGGGTATCGGTTGATATGCAGCTGAATTTTGTGGTGATAGATGGCACACTGCTAAAATCCATGAATGTTGCTAGTCATTATGTATGTCAGACAAAACATTCTGTTTGACCTTTCCTTCTTAAAGCAGTATGACGGCATGCATGATTATACAAAATTTTGAATTGGTTACCATTGATTTTATTTCTGCCATGATTTAACCTTTATTTAAGAGTAATGTTATTTGGACTTACTTGTAGCTTCTTGTACTCCACAATACACGCGCATTGCGGTCCCGAACTGAAGTATGGGAAGTTAATAATGGGGTGCAAAAAAGTTTTGCATTTCTTAACATTTAAGTTGCAGTATATTGCTACTGTTGAAGTCAGTTTTATATTTCTTCACAATAGTATCTTGTTGGAAAAGTTACATGTCAACGATAAGTTTTTAGCACAGTAAGTTTCTTGAGCTTTCTATACAGCATATTTGAACTTAAGTAATTTCGATAGATTGAAGCCAGTAAAACACAACCCCATCAACCCACCGCACCGCCACGGCCTCCACACAATTCCTATACCTCAAGAGCTTTATTGCACAAACTGTTCTTTTGACCTTGAATTGCATCCTCCACTCAATTTCTCTCCATTTATCAACTCCTTATGGGCTTACACCATTTACATGATATCATGACTTTGCAGCACTCCATTGTGTTCCCATCATTGTTGCTGTTTCATCGCCCAATTATGTAGTCTCCATCACTCCTAGTTCAGTACTGCAAGTGCACATCGTATTACTCTATTTGCTAGTGACATTATTATATAAAGCATTATGCCCTCTTAGTTTATTACTACTTTGGAAGAAGGAATGGCATACTAACTCTCAAATCATTATGAAAGTATTCTCCAATGGATTGTTTCTTTATGGATGAGTCAGCGCTATTGGCTGGACAGTGTCTGGTGTACTCCATGCAATAAAACCATAAGTTGCTTTGCCACACATTTCAGTTCCAGCTAGGAGCACTATACTGGCCTCTCAATGGTTGCTTCTTTAGATCTGATATAAGCACTTGTGGTTTTTACCTGCAATAATTTGATTCTGGTTTCAGATGAGATTTAAATATTATAGACGTGTGTTCTCAGCTCAGATTAAGTTATTTACTGAAGGAATTTTGTCTAATTTCTTTTCCATTTTCTTTTCCTTTATTAATTTGATTGGATATGGATTTTTGATTTTTGATTTTTGATTTTTTTTTTTTTTTTTTTTGTGCATATTTTGTTACTATTATTACACAATTTGGTGGATAAGATTTACACAATTTTAAATGGATTAGTAAAAGGATTTGTCAATAGCTTGAAATGGTATGGTGTCCTAACTAATGGAGTGTTATTGGAACAATAGACCCTGCAGTTATTCCAAAATAGTAAATCTTGGTTAAAGTAATATGACAATGCCACGTGGACTTTGTGGCATGGAGACGATCATGATATGATTTCTTGCTGGGTATTGAACAAGTTTAATAGTAGATGAATAACATTATTTCCTAGTTTCTATTTACACTTATTTGGACAAATCATTATGTTTTTGTTGCATTTAGGAAACTTCTTTTTCTCTTACCTGATTATTATAGTAAATCCTACTGGATTGTTGAAAATTCTATCATATCATGTTAGGAACTTCAGTTTCTTATTTAGTTGTCACAGCTTCTTGTCACTTTTGAGCTTGCAGGTACCGTGCCATCACTAGTGCTTATTACCGGGGTGCTGTTGGTGCACTGCTTGTGTATGATGTCACCAGGCACTCTACATTCGAAAATGTTGAAAGGTGGCTAAGGGAGTTGAGGGATCACACGGACCCAAACATCGTAGTCATGCTCATTGGTAATAAATCAGATCTTCGACACCTTGTGGCAGTTTCAACTGAGGATGGAAAGTCATTTGCTGAGAGGGAATCACTCTACTTCATGGAAACTTCTGCACTGGAAGCCACTAATGTGGACAATGCCTTCTCTGAAGTTCTTACTCAGATCTATCGCATTGTGAGCAAGAAGGCCATGGAGGCGGGTGATGATGGAAATGCTTCGGCTGTCCCCTCCCAAGGAGAGAAAATTGATGTTGGTAAAGATGTGTCTGCAGTGAAGAAAGGTGGGTGCTGTTCAACCTAGGGTTTTCAACTGAATTCACTCGCGTTAATAGATGCGGCTTGTTTGTTTGCAGCATCTGTTTCTGTGTACACCATGATTGTGTAGAATTTTCTCAAAAGGCCTACTACATTAGGAGATATCTTAGAATTTTTTTCGACCAAGGCTGTTATTTTTTGCATGAATGCAGAGCTTGCTTGATTAGACACAGGATGTTGTTATATGTGTTGTTTTCATTCAGCTGGTAAGATTGTGCTTAAATTCTTACGCAATTTGTTTGATATAAATGCCATTTCAGACGTCTTCGATTTGAATTTGCCTTGGTTTATCCCAACCATGCTTCTGAACTGAGACACACCTCTGATAAACTTGCTGTCCAAAATTTTCAAAATCCATTCAAGCTCCGGTTTGACCTAATTAGTCGTCTGGTTGATGTTTGGGACCTTGGCTTTATTTGTGTGATTCTTAACTATGAAGTCCAAAACGAACTTTCATTGCAGTTGGGCATGTTCAGGAACAGTTGTTGTTAGTCTAAAAAAGCGAAACTTGATCGGTTGATTGATACTTCTACTTCTTTAATCTCTTTATCTGCGTGGTTTACTGAAATATTCAACTTTGGCAAGATCATTTGGGGCAACCTAAATTGTGCTTGGAGAGCCATGGATATGTATGCAAATTTGAGGTTTGCGCCAATTCAAGGTCTTATTGAATTGTAAACCTAGTCAAGAACATTTATTCAAATCCTCTTGGGGCGTAAATTTTTCAATAATTGCCCTATGCATGTAAGATTGCCGGTGGTGAATTACAGAATGTGACAAGAGGTGTGACACCACCATAAAAAATTGATGGAGATTTTTATTTTCCGTTAGAAGATGAACCAAAAAAACAAGTCCCTGTGAATTTCACATTCCATACTATTGCTATATTTTGACCAATAAGTCATTTCTAGTGATTAAATCATCCTTGGACTAAAACATGTGGAAGGGTTTGTCCTTTCAATCATAATCCAATTAATGATCTAACGGTTAATAGTGTCCTCATTCTCACTACATTATGATGCCATAAAATGTTAATTTCATCTTTGCCTTGCAAGTCCTATCTGTATTCTGTATTATATGCTGAAACTTTAAGAATTTAGTATTGTTTTTTTTAAAAAAATATCAAATAATATATATATATATATATATATATATATATATATATATATATATTATTGGTGTCCCATGGTGTTCATTAAGCAAGATATATAAAATAATTTGTCAAAAATTAATGAATATATTATTTTTATTAGGTTTTAATATTTTTTCCTTCATAAATATTTATTACAACCAAATACTAAAAAGTAAAAATAAAATATTTTACATCCAAATAAAGGGAATTTTAATTTTTAAAAAACTAATTTGTAAGTGTAAAACCACTATGATAATGAAAAAACAAAAATAGACAAACCTCAAGTAAATTTGGAGCAATTTGAAGTTAGAATTTTTTTGGCTTAAGCAATAAATTAAAGGTCATCTAACCTTTTGTTAAGAGCATGTGGGTTGTTTGTATTTGTGAAGCTATTAACTCTAGATCTTAACACCAGTACTTTATAATCCACAATCAATGAAGTTGTCTATTACTATCTTGTAAATTTATGTTTCCGATGCGATTAGTGGATAAGAAAGAAGTGATTAAGAGTTGTTAATTGTCACTAGTGATGTAACCCATTGATTCGCATGGGATGTGATGACATGTACGTGTCACACGTGGGGGACGAATTTTGCGCAACACCATTAAATGCTCCAAAAATTAAAATTAAAAATAACAATAAATAGTACAATTATACAATTTAACGTAAAGTTCGTTATTCGCTTGACTTTGTCTTGTACAGAATTATCTTTATAATACAAGATGGATAATATATACTCCGTACTTGAATGGGCCTCTTGGGGTCCATTTTTAAAGCTCTCATCACCAACAACTTGTATTACACACACACACACACACACAGTCACACACACACACACACTATTACCTACTTCTTTGATTGTGATAATTCTCCGTGTGCTTTCTAAGTTGAGCAATTGGATGAAAATCATGTGAAACAGTGATATAATACCAACCAATCTGATTGGTACACCTCATCAAATAAATCCAGCTATGAATGCCTAAAAAGTCGAACTTCATAAGTTTGACTTTATGGTTCAGTCAGCCAGTAAAGTTTTTGTCACATTTGATTATCGATCATAAAATTAGTTCCCCAAGTTGCAAATTTTCAATCAATCCAAGTCTCTAGGATGTCTCAGTATGACAATTTTATAGAAAAATACTTTTAAGTCTTAAATTTTTAAACAGAATGATATATGCTCAACGTTTGATTACACATTATAAAATATAGTACTATAACTATTTTTAGGCTTTAACTTGCAAATTTGTATAAATTAATTTAGAGTTGATGAGTTGGGTTATGAAAGTGGAAGTTATGTTTGAGTCGTTGTCAATGTAATTTTGGAACTGAGTTTGATTTTAACTCGAATTATACAAAACAAACAATCTAATTAGTGTATTGGACTCAACTTAAGTCATATTATTTATTTTTTTTTACTTTAGTTAAAAAAACATAAAATCATTTTGTTCTTATGAGAAATCGAACCCTTAGTCTGTTACTTGATGACCTTAGATTGCATTATTACTGGTTATATAATCAATAAATTCATAGTTATTATTATTATTATTATTATTATTATTATTTATTTATCAATGGCAATGAGAAACACGTGAAGCAAAGATGGTAGCTTTCAAACTAAACAAATGATGGCATTATGAATGATGATAATATTAGTCGGTCTGCCATTTTAATCAAAGAAATTTAATTTATCCATAATTTGGAACCCAATACAACAAATAGGACGAGAATGTGTCTGATTGTTTCCTAGTGAAATATTTTTGACACATTTTAATTGATGCACGAATTCATTTATACAAAGTTACATTATCAAATCAATATGAGTCACTGGACCAAAAGACATTTGATCGATTCAGTTGGGTGTATATAAGTATATGTACACATGTTAATAGCATAAAAGTAGAACACAAAACAACATGTTTTTGTTTGTTTGGAAGTTCACAAAAGAGCATGTTAAGAAAATTGATACGGAAAGCTTTTACATGACTTACATAAATGGAGTTGTTAGGTGGCTGACAAGCAATACAGTCTCACTAATAGTATATGGGTAGAATCAATCATATTATATATATATGTAAAAGTTTGCCTCTCGGTTTGGAAAATAAAAATAGCTTTTATCCCAATTAAAAAAAATCTATTAAATAAATAAACTTTTAACTAAAAATTATAAAATAATTGTTGAAGTAGCCTAACAAAAAAACATGAAATTTATAACAGTTAGGAATTGTGAGTGAACAGACAAGATCACTCACATATGTGATCATGTCACACGATTATAGTTGTGAGTGAGACAAGATCACTCGCACATGTAATCATATCACACTTATGATTGATGATGATTATTTTTTACAATATTATGGGATTATGTTCTAATACTCAGACGCATCACCTGTGACATAATCAAATGTGTGAATGATCTCAGCCCATAAATTTTGAAAATTTGGGAATTCTTTAGAAAAATAAAATAAAAAATGTGGTGGCAGTTGGGAACGGACGGCGAAGATGCTAACTACAAGCAAGATGAAGACAGAATTGGAATCGGACATATTTATTCGTTGCTCACTACACTGAAATCTAGGCAAATTTTTATTAAAATAAAAATGAAAAATTGTAGTTTTGTGGTGTCGTAAGGCGCACGATAAGCACGCCTTTGTTGAGCGTGTCAAACGATCTCATCCTGTGGTCCCACACCAGGGTGTCAATCCACACCGCCGCCGAACCTCCTCCATCACTCCTCGCCGGAACACCATCGAACATTCCGGCAACTCACCCAGATCCGCGAACAGAGAATCCTCCTCCTCCCTCATCGGATAAACCACCGCCGCGCCCGTGTCGCCCACGCTCTCCTCCGCCAGAATTGGGCTCTCCAGCACGGTGGAAAACGTCGATTCCAGCTCCGGGAACCACCGGAATTCGTCGCCGGTGATCAACGAGTCCGACCCTAAATTGGCGAACTTCTCATCCGGGTCGGGTTCAAAGACTGTTAACTTCTCGTTGTCGGAGTTTGAAACCTCTACGGTAGTTGTTGGAGTTGCAACGGTAGTGGTTTCGGCAACGGCGTTGTTGTGGTGGTGGTGGTGATTGTTTCTTGACGCCGGCCAAGGGTGGTTGTGCTCGCAGGAGTACGTGATCACTAGCATGGTGGGGTCCACACGGCTTCTCTCTACTTGCTTTCTTGCAGGGCAGCCCTTTGAGCTACTGCATCTATAATACCCTCTGCCAAAATCATCATAACAGTTTTGATTTGATCAGACCACTGATTATCTGTGTCCTATGATTAAATCCTACGGCGAATTACACCGAAACAACGGACCAGGATCCAGTGCAGAACAATATGAGTGCTGCTGTACAAATTGATTCACACACAAATACTAAGAAGTGTGTGTTTCAATCAGATGCTGCACAGCACTGAATCCAAATTCGGAAACAACAGTGTGTCCGGGTGAGAGAGAGAAATGAGAATTACCTAGGATATGGAGATCCTTTGATGGGTTTCTGTCCGTACTTCCTCCAAGCCCATGAATCGGACGGCGGAGCACTCGTCTCGCTCTTAAGCCCGGATCCTTCAACAGCTCTGATAGGCACTGACACCACTCTCTTCTGTAAAGCACGCCTACTGTAACAAATACACACAGCATATTAGTACTCCTTAGTACCCTTAACACCTAGTTCATGCACACACATGAACTAGATTAAAATTTGAAACAATAATGTATCATTTTCTAAAAATTAAAAATATATACATATATTTACATCTGAAATCGACATATTTTCTACGAATAAGAATATGATCGTGTACTAATATATATATATACTGACCTTCTTTTAGGGGAGGAGGTAGAGGTGATCTTGGAGTCGTTAAACATGGCGGAAGTAGGGGAGTCACAACTATTTTCCGGTGAGTTTTCATTGTCTTCTTGGTCGTTTAGAAATGGGTTGGTGCTGAATCTGCCGTCCATTTTTGAAGTGACACCAGATAAGCTAAAGATGATCAATTTGGTTCGTTGATAACTAGATGAAACAGATATGATTAAAGTGGTTAGAGAGAGAGAGAGAAAGAGGAGAGAGAGAGAGAGAGAGAGAGAGAGACGGGGGAGGGTAGAAGAAGAAGAAATGGGGGAAGGTGGTGAAAGATTAGGTGGTCCTTTTAATATGGGTCCTAATGTTGACAGATGGGTAGTGATATAGTTTAAGTGTGCAAATAATCCATTTCTAATTATTTAACGTTACAAATGTGAAAGTGACTCTCACGGCCATTTTGATTAATCTACTCTTGTGATTTGGGCGCTTTTCTCTTTCAATTAATAGAGAGAGATATCCAACCTCTTTTACTTTGTAAATGCTCTTAGCACTTACTGGAGGGATAGTTCATCTATTCAATTTATTTTGAACATTGGTCCATTCCACTAATTTAGTATTTTTTACCAAGTCTGAATCCTGGTTTTCCTGTTCTCCTGAAGAGGAGGAAGAAGATGGTTTTAAAAAAAAACTTTTACATTCATAAAATACATAGAGGATAAATTATTTTTCTTTCTTTTATATTTCCCATTTCAATTCAAATTCATAAAAAAGAAAAGCAACAAAAAATTAAAAAAAAATAAAAAAGATTGAAAATGTTTAGTAAGAACTGAAATTTTAAGCTTTACTTGGTTCAGTTTTTTTAGAATAATTTTTTTTTTTAATTTTCTAAAAATTAAAAAACAAAAATAGTTTTTGAAAATTAATTTATGAAAATTCAGTTTAAAAAATGTTTGTCTTTTACAAAATTTGAAGATAAGTTTTAGAATTTTTAAAAATTGTTTTCTAAGTGACAAACCAAGCAAGCTCTTATGCACTCTCAATTCAAAATTTTAAATGTAACCTAAACATCAAACAATTTGTTCACTAATGTTAAATTTTTGTAAAATAAATAAATTAAATTATATGTAGAATACTAGTTGTTAGAGAATTTTGTCTCACATCGGTCCAAATTAGGAGGGCGTTGGACTTATAAGAGCCGATATATATCAGGTTATTTTTATTTTTATTTTTTGTATTTAATAGCAAGCGTCGAACTTGTTACAAGTAATATAAGAACATACCTAGTTCCGAATGGAGCAGAATGTTAAAGGGTTCTAATAGCATATTTGATAATTAAAATGGGGTGAAGGACTAATTATCATAAATTGAGAGTGCCCAAAAAAAAGGTGTCTTAAATTCAATCCAATATAAAAATAGCCCTTTGATTTAAGTAATCACATGGGCTTTCGCAGCAATGAAGGAGAAAGAGTATAAAATATTTATGTATTTAAATAATTTCTTTTATTATTATTTCATCAGCTTCTGCCTTCTGCACTTGAATTTAAGACCACTCAATTTTCTCAGCTAACCCTATCTTCAAATGTTAGTTTATTTTAAAAGAAAAAGTCAAATAAATCTTATTCCCATCCAAACAATGTTGTACCTTTAATTAATTGTTACTTACATGGGTTTTGTCCATATTCGTGATATTATTTAAGATTTCGGTACCATAAACATCCTAATTACTAATCCAACACGGAAATCAATGAGATCATTTTTAGACGAATTAAACCCAACATATATGATCGAAGCCATAAAAGCTTGTTATTGTAAACACACACATACATAGTAATTATAATGATTTAGCTGATGGGCGAACATTCACATACATAGAGTCGCAGACATATTTTAAATGTAAAGCATTGGCGCGATGCCTCTAATATAGAGACTATCTATTGTCTTCATTCAATAAGATTAAATAGAAGCTGTGTGTGCACGCGCGCGCGCATTGGTTATATCTATATAATATGAAATGAGGACAGAACCATGCGGTTCCAGTGGGGCCTAATTAAGCCACTTCCCCACCGGATTGAATTTTAAACACTCATTATTGAAGAAGCATTTAAACTGCCGTTGGACAGGCCACACAAAACAACAGTAATATATATCACATGGTCACCCAAGTAAAAGGAATCAATATTGGGATTTTTTTTTTTAATTTTTTCCAAGTGTATCAACTTTGGATTCATAAAAATGAAGGACAATGTAGGATCAATTTTAATTTTATTATATGAGCAGTGTTAAAAAACAATTATGCAGCTTTGCTCAATCTTGATCGTTTGATCATGTCCATCTCACAATATTATGGCTTGCTTGATCTTAAGGCTGAGTACACACAATCGCGGTAATTGTGATTGTCCTTAGCCACGGCACCCGTTTGCTCTATAATTTATACTACTATTTATATATACTGATATACAGGGAGGCTCTAAGCGGTCCGAGCAAATGGACCTTTGAACGGTGCTAAGTGAGACCATCCTTATTTATTGGATAATGCTACAGGACCCGACAATGTTTTGCCCTCGACTCCCACGAGGTAACCTTTTCACTCGTCTTTTCTTTTGCCATTCTTGTTCTTTCTTCTTTACTGTTGCTTCACATAATCCATAACAACAATGAAAAACCCATACCAAAGTTGAAGACGAGATGAAGAAATTAGTTCACAACAACCACCAAAAACAGCGCCACCGTGCTCCATCATGTCCGGGAAAGGCAAATCTATATCTGGGAAATATATGTCCATTTGAAGGAGAAATTAATTTTTTTCTCTTTTTTTGCAACTGAGCAATACTTAGGTTCTCTTTAGTGAGAATTTACACCATCTTCACTAGTGATGTGGTCTAATAATGAATCACCAACTTTGTGATTTGGTAAGTGGGTATTTACCCACCATATTAAATTTAGTAATTAAATAAATTTAGTAATTAAAGATGATATGTCTATTTATTATTGATCCACATTACTAGTAAAGATGGTGTAAATCTTTACAAATGAGGATCTAAGTAATCGTTGATTTTAAAAACCACTAATAATAAATATCTGGAAGAAAGACTTATTATAAATGTGTCTGGTCGACCTAAGTTGACCCAATCCGAAACAATATGATTGTAAACTTTTCATTAAAAATTGATAAATCTTAAAAAGTTAATTTGAATCCCTAAGAGAAAGGGATGGGAAGTGTTCACGGAAAGGTTTGTAGCATTAAAAAAAGTATATAAAAATATCTAATTCTCTACAATGGAGTACAACATATATATAGCCTTCTAGAATAAAGCAATGTGCTTTTAATATTTTTATTTGGTTTTAATTGAGGACCATATTTGTTTATTCATCAGTGAGTAAGAAATACATACTTACTTTTAATGTGGTGCAAAATTAGCAGAACACGTGTCTTTATAATATAAAATAATAAAAATTAAAAGATTTGAGAAGTTATTTGGATTAAACCCAATATGATCTAAATCTAACTATTTTTCTCACTCACGTTACTCTTTTCGTATAGGGAGTGAATGAGAAGGGGATCTTGTCGAAAAAAATATTTTAAGCTAAAATTCTTAAATAAAATAGGATGATGAATAGAATGAATAATTATAAATGTAATAAAACATATATATTTGTTTTATGCCAAAAGAAAAAAAAGATTAAAAATAAGCAATAAGAATCCATCCTACACTCAACAAATCACCTATCAAATCATGTGAACTAGATTTTATGTAATTTAATGTACTTTAGATAAAAATAATTGATAAGTATATATAAGGATTAGTGGATTACATATTAAATCATAAAAGATAAAAGTTAAAACTTCCACTATTAGTAGATTAGGGCTTCAGCCGAATAGTTTGAGAGAGAGAAAGAGAGGGAAAGTTAAATTAGGATTTGATTTGCATCCATTTGGGTTGACCCGATAAGTATTTAAAATTTAAAATTCTTATTATTTTCTATTTAGGAATACTTGTCACATTATTTTTGCGCTACATCAGGAGTAAGCATATACTTTCTACTCACCGGTGAATAGACAAGTATTATCCTTTAATTAATAAATTAATAAATGCTTTAATTTACTTATTGCTCTTTCTCTGACTTTTCTTCACCCACTTGTGGGATGCCCCCCCCTCTCTCTCTCTCTCAATAATCTACGCACACAAATTCCATTTTGTCAAGCTAGGGTTTTCTTTTTTTAACCTACAATTCCAGTGAAGGGAAACTTCCTTTTGCCAACATTTAATTTTCTATAAAATATGCATGATGTTACACGTTAACTATATAATTTGATAAGGTGTCTCCTATGTTAACACTCCAATATGAGATATATCTGTGATCAATCATAATTCCAAAATTGAACAGATGTTGTGATTAAAATCACTTAATCGAGATTTTAAAATTTAAATTAAATTTTTTTTTTTTTCAATTTTAATATCAAAATACTGATTTAATCCGGGCTCCCAACCAAAACAAGAATGTAATTCACATGTAATATCACGGAAAGATCAATGCTAATTTAACTTTTGTTGTGTGTATACATGCCTCTCAAATTGTGTCACAAGTGACGTTTATATGCGCGGTCTTGTTGTCATCAATTTGTTTTGTTTTGAATATTTAGAAACTCTTTTTAGATTCCCACTTGAAACTCCATATTATATAGTTGTAGAGTAACAGACGTACATGAATTGACATTGCTAATGTTGTACAACCCGTATCTCTGTCTGCAAAGTTTTGCTTGTAATCATAATTTGTGTTTGACTTTTCTAAAGATTCAACAATTTCTTTTAAGGATTAGTACTAGCAGTAATTAAAGAATTTGCAACTTCAATTTTTATTTTTTATTTGCTATTCTATGGATATTTATTTTAAAGTTAAAACAAGTGATCCATACTAATCAATTATATAAAAATGGAAAGAGTGGTGCAATTCTCATTCTCGAATCAAGATTCTGTCCATTATGAGAAGAGCGTCTTTGTAATTTTAAATGTATCTTACATTGAGAAATAAACAATCATTATATCAAAAAAAACAATACAAACGAAACATTATTACATAGAGAATTAAAATTATTACATATAAAACACAAATGAAATATTATTGCATAGAGAATGTTGCTTATGTCATGTTATCGATCTTCGTTTTCTTTAGTATAATGTTATAATTATTGTGTTTTTTTTATGTGACGAAGTTGTGTATTACACTAACCTACCTCAATGTAAAGTATCACGTGTGCATCAAAATGATGGCACTTGAAAGTCTTGAAAGTATAAGATATTTC